TATGTATCTACTGCGAATATACTTTGACAACAGTAGCACTATTGAGAACATCTTTCACAGGATCCAACGCAAGCACATCCTTCATGATGATATTCATCATGTGCGCACCCCACCCATTGCAGGTCAGATTTGGGCGGTTGTCCTTGAACACTTTCCATGCTTTCTTCATATTTGTCGCATGGTCCGTCAAGACACCACAGACTGCGCCGGGCCTCATGATCCCCTCGAATTCGACAATAACCACTATCCGATCGTCCCTATATTCCCCCTGTGTGTTGATTATCACCAGTTGCACAAGAGGACCAAAACACTGGGCTCTTCCGCGGAGAAGTGATCACAAAGTTAACGATAGTCTGCTTGTTTGAGTTGGCCCATATCTGAAATAACAGTCACGTACTGCTCATTCTTGATTGCGTCGGCCACATGCTACTTTTCTCGAGCATAGGTGACGTCGAGAAGGGACCTGCGAGCTTGTATTGAGAAGGCAACTTGAAATCGGGCCGAAAGTGCTTAAAACGAAGCTTCTTTTTAGGATCCTCAAGCACGAAAGGAAATTCATGAAGCGTAAAGCACCATCAGTAAGTCGAGCTCGAGCTGAGCTTGGCCGTACTCGTGGAAGGGCTGACTCTTGGGCAGGGCCTTGCGAGCTGTAGATGGCGAGCGTGGCGTCCCTAGCGATCGCCGCGTGTTCTTTCTCTTGGGTGTCGATGGGGATGAGGAGGGAGCATACCGCGGCTTTATATCGGCGGAGAAGGAACAAGAGCGCATCTTTTTAAATGTTTGCCGACTTGAGCACTTCGAAAGAGCTTATTGCAATGTGGACAGGAGACGTCCTGTTGCTTTTTTCCATCGCCGTTCGGTATCGCCATTTTGAAATCATCGCATTTTGGAGACGTCGGCTTCGCTTTGGGTGGCATATTGAAGGGTCCGAGTCGGGAGGAGGGGAGTTGTGCTAACACTGTTTTTTTCTCTAATATATGAGGTCTTCGATGAAGTAGTCAGCCAGAACGCAAAGTGCAGCGCATCGTCTGCTACAGGATTGCTGTACATATCCTACTTTGTGGACCTCGGACTTATTAGACCTCATTAGTCCTAATTAGTCATCGCTAACTCGTTTTGACTAATTAGTCGTTGTAGTCATTTACAAGCATACTCCCAATCATCTACATCACGATGACGTCCACGCAAACAGCTGTTCCTGACATTTGCAAGGCAGATTTATTCTTGACTGCAGTATGTGTTGTTCAGGACGGGATATCAATCCGCAAGGCAGTCAAGAAGTAAATCGTTACGAGTGAGTCTCTCCGACTTAGAGTCCATGGATACGTCTTTGTCGACTATCTACACGGCCCTCAGCTTATGTACATCGACTCGGGCACGGATGCAGGTTTATTCGAAGCCATATTATACCGCTGCGCTCATGGACTCTCAGTTTGAACCTCCATATTTTGCCATCTTGTCCAGCAAGCCGCTCTCGCCACTAGCATCAAAG